ATTTGTTACTTTAAGGTGACCACGGTACTTTCATATTCTTGAATTGAAGAATTTTGTTTTGCCTGAATCAGTGTGGGAAATATATTGTGGTTATGAGATTTTTTGGGCGGTTAAAGTTTGCAAGGTTATACAATGGGTTAAAGAATTTTGGGACAGTACAAAGGAAAATTGAGATTCTCGAATAAAAAGTAGTAGCATTAATTTTTGCTTTAATACAACCACTAGGGAGGCGCTCTTGAGTTGTACCCCTTTCTTCCAATTGGGATGGAAAATTCCCCCTAAAACTTTGTCTTTAGATAATTTTTAGGCTTCATAAAGAAGGCAAAACTTGAGTTTAATTTATGAAATGGAGACTTTGCTTTCACTTGGAAGCCATTTTACCCATGTGGGGGGTTAATTTTGAAAAAGATTAATACTTAAGACGGGCTTAAATTCTCTGAAAATTATCCCTTTTTCAAAATGGCTTGATAAAACACCACTTCCTGTCCAGAGAGGAAGTTATTTTAGCTCAAGGACTGAAATATTTAGCAGATCTTTAGACAAAAGGAACAAATTACATTTCTCTCTGGCTTAAAAAGGGTGCTTTGAGCCAGAGGGGGTTAAGAAACCCTCCCCCCTCCCCCTGATGGGGTGGTCTGGAGGGGCAGGGAGGTGTGGGGGTGGGGGTCCTCAGGCTCCTTGGGATGGAGGATCTCTCTCCTCTTTTTTTTTTTTTTTTTTTTTTTTTTGGTGGAGATGAAGGGGTGGGTCTATGGTACATCACCTGAGTTGTGGGGTAAATGTAGAGAGTGTCAATCAAAGGCAGAGCTCTCAGAGCTGGGAAGGAGGCTCTAGATGGCGGCTGTGCCTTAGAGAGAGCGCGCTCTGCTCCCTGCCTTCGCCTCACTTTACGCAACTTTCCCTAACTTTCGGGCAGCCTCAGGGGGCCCCCGCAGCCCCCTGCCTCTCCTAGTGACTTACTGGGGTCGATTCGAACGTTTTTAAGGGAGAAAAGCAGCTTTTAGGAGCTTTCTTTTCGTGCCTTGTTGGAAAGAAGCAGCCGTACAGAGAGCCCAGGTCGTTGTTTTTTCCAGCTTAGAAGCCATGGCGCACCTCCATTTTTGTGCGCTCTCCTAATGAGGTTTTTTTCTTCCGTACCCGTTTTAGTATTAATTGTTGCTTTATTTTTTTTGACCATTTAACACATTTGAGGATTATTTTATTTATTTTTGGTTTTTTGACGGAGAATTTTGTTTGGATTTTTAATTATTTGGGACCTGATATTTTTCTACTAGATAGGACTCTTGCTTTGGACATACTACATGGATCAGGTAAGTTCATGATCCTTAGTGATAATTTAAAAGATTTATGTGTTAAAGTTTGCTTTATTTCTTGTAAATATGAGAAATTCCTGGATGACGCAATAAGATACAGAGATTGTTATTTGTATCCAGTGTGTTACTTTGAGAAACTTTCCTTATTGATAGTGATGATTCCCCCTGTTTGGTTTAACGTGTTTTGTTTTTTTTTAAAGGAAAAAATAGAAATATTATGTTTTTTGGTGCTTACCGCTGTTGTATTACTATCGTTACATGGTCAGGACTTTGTTCCTGATAATAAAAACCATCGATAGAAGCTGGGACCTTACCTTTCTTTCAACTTTTGACAGTAAATACCTGGGCACAGGACTTCAAAGCAAACACAGATTCCCCCTTCCCCTTAATATTTAAGAATTAAAAGATGATGAGAAATAAGGACAAAAGCCAAGAGGAGGACAGTTCGCCACACAGCAATGCATCGAGGTATGAGCTATCAACTTTATTCCTTTTTTCTTTTTTGGGGGGAAACCTTAGCTTACATTGTTTACCTTGACAGACAAGGATAGCTGTCTGTGTTATTTTAAGTATTTTACTAATTTGGATTCGTTTTTTAAAGCGTGACCTTGAGATTGCTAATATGCCACACCCTAATTTTTTGGTAGCAATTTATGAAAGTTGAGTTGACTTAAGGCCTCTTACAGCAGCCTAAAGGTAAGGTACCTTTATTCAAAGGGGCCTTTTTTGTAAACTACAGTTTTTCTGTCAATAAATTACAGTTTTTAGGTTTTTGTGCTGTAGAAAAATGACCTTGTCGGTTTAGCCATTGCTGCATTGCACCATTTTACATACAAGGCAAATTTTTTCTTTGAAGAATCTATGATACCCAAACTTGTAACTGAAGGCCACAGAGGAGCCTTGTGGTAGTAAATTATAGTAAATAGACATTTGAGAAAGTTATATGAATGAAAAAATGTACATTTTAAAATGAAATTGCAAAAAGGACCCTTTGACTGATGCCTCTCAGTTTATATTTTTATTTGATTCTATATTTCTTTTGATAACTCTTGACATTTTAGGAAAATTTGATAGTATTTAACAAAATTTTTACTTGACGGTTACAGTGCCTGCGTTTATGAAATTAAACCTGTGTTCCCAGAAATCCTGGAATACTCTTAATAATACTTCTGTTTTGTGTTGTTATCGTGATTATGATTGTATATTTTACATTTAACACATTTTAAGGTTTACATTTGTATGTTTATATTCAGACAATGCTTCCTGGTTGGTAGATGTAGTAGGATCTTATCCTGGTACTTTAGTTGTAACTGCTTTAAATTTATTGATTTATTTCGACAGTGTCTCCTGGAATGCTTTATCTTCTGAAGCTTACAAATGTACTGTTCAAATCATTTGTTTCACGGTTGTTGGAGTACCTTATTAGTGACTAAGTAATAAAGCCTCTGATGTTTTCTTGTATGATCTGTATATTAATTTTTTAAAGTATGAATGCATTTCTTGATGTGTGTTCTTATAACTTGTCATGTTATAAATTTTAAATCATGCAGTTAACAAGAATGTGATTGAAATATGGTTTTCCCACTTTTGCCTTTTTATAATTTTACATAACATAATTTCCTATTAGATTAGTGAATATGAAAGTTAAATGTGGTTTATTACAAATGTTGATCATTTGTAGCATTAGACTTAAAGTATTTTGACCCTTGCTTTCAAAAATACCTTTCCACATTCTTTTGCAAATTGAGTTGTCACACAGTTTGGACTGCTGCTGTATTTGAACTGAAATGCCTAGGTTAGATTTAGGACAGAAAACTTCTACTAACCCTAAACTGATTTTTCTGAAAAGTAATAGCGATTTGAAGAAATAGGAATCCCCACATTTATTTGACATATTTTTAAAGATTCCGGACCTAAAATTGTTACTCCCTTTAGTGTATGATTTGCATAGTCTCACATGGCTTTTGGCTTTCTTATGCAAGGTTTGTGGTTAACATTGATCAAACTCTGCTTTCTAATTTAAAAACTCAAGCAGTGTTGCTGTTTTAATTATTTACTGTCACCTGGAAAACTACTTCGAAGCTGTCATGCATTTGCCTATCGCATTGTTAAGAAGCATGCACTATGCATTTAAATGCATTTTGTCAAGTATATTTTGATTCATGTACCTGATGAATGGCCAAAAATATTTGAGAGACTCCTTGAAGAGATGATGGAGTTTTTTAAAGTACTGTTGCCCTAAATTGCATACTTTAACACATGTACATAATTATGACATCACTTTTAAAATTGTAAAGCTAAAGGTTATTAATGGTGTTTTATTGTAGATAAATGTTATTTTTATTTTTAGTGAGCTAAAATTAAGGAGACTGGCCCTAACTCGTACTTGGTTCCTTAATCCATCAGAATTTCTCCGTTCAGGACCTGTTTCTATGGCACAAAGTCTAGTGTTCAGGGAGTACAAAAATCACTTTTCACAGCCTGAGCCACAGTAGAGGAAGGGAGGAGTTTGCAGGTCAAGTAGTAAACTTTTGGTCTGAGGATTACTTTAGGATCTGAAAGGGTTGAGTGCAAGTTGAGGTAAACCTGGTATTTTCCTGTTTTTGGAAATAATGCAATACTAGTGATTATGTAAGTTTGTTATTCCTGTATTGTGAAGTTGATATTTAAGTATGTTACACTTTGTATACCATGATTTCTGAAGAGTAAAAAGTTCACTTTCAAAGGATTTTTCAAGTATTTGGTATGTGTGATGCTTCTAACTATTTAAAACAAACTTTTAGTGATGGACCTGTATAGAAACATATTCCACACACTTAACTAATTTACATTTTGGGGTAACTTCAGTAATAAAGAATGGAAACAGAGATGGGAATCAGGATGGAACTGTGCACACAAAGAGTTAGTTGTGTGTGCTAGGGCTCCGCCTTTGCAATTTATGTTAAGAACTGAAACAGTTTATTCAATTTGTGTCCAAATCATCTGCTGTTGAACCAGATTTATTTTGATCACCTGAGGTGCGGTGAAAATCATCTGCTTTTTAATCAGGCTTTTAGCAGTTATTCTAAAAGCCTAGGGGAGTTTAGAAATGGTATAATGCAATTGCTTGTGGACTGGAAAAGACAGTTTTTTAAGTGGCAGCCATTTTATGACACTGATAATTCCTACGAATCGGGAGTTTTGAAAAGACTGGAAAATAAAGCGAATTGAATCCTGAAATACCAAAACCTCGCTTTTCTCCCCCTCTCTTCTTTTTTGGTTCTCTGGTGCTAAAATAAAGGGCAGCTCGGTAGTTAGCGCTGACAGCAGCTCTGTGAGCCCCTGGCATCTTGGTGCAGGTCCAGCTTAGTCACAAAATGGCTGTTCCTTTGTGCCGCAGCGCTGACAGACATACTGCATTGCACTGTGTACTCGCCAAACAGCAGGAAGTTGCCGTGCCGAGTTCAAAGGCCGGCCGGCGCCGGCGCCGAGAGATGATTGGCTGTATGCGCGCCTGGTAACAGCAGGTCAACAGCGGCAGCCTTCGTGCGGGCCCCGCCCCGTGACGTCAGACGTCTGCCGAGCAGACGCAGTGACGTTGAGCTGCGTGCGCAGCCCGGGTGCTTTCTCCGCCTTGCTTAGCCGCTGGCCTGCTGGGAGGGGGAAAGTGAAGGGAGGGGAGCTGTACGGGACTTTCCGGCGGCGGCCACTTCCCAGAACGATTTTGCTCCTGGGAGTATCCTCCGCCCTTCCCTGTATTGGTCTACACCCTACAGCACATTCCTTTGCCTTTCTCTGGGAATGACTTTCCTCTTTGAGAAACGGCTTCCCTTTTTGCAGAAAGTAAAAGGTGCAGATCGGAAACCTTCAGATAGAAAACGTAACGGGTCTTTTTTTTTCGTTTTCTGTTCATGTGAGGAGATCAGTGAGTTGAATTTTGCTATCATTGACCCAAACCATTTCTCTGTCAGAAGAGATACTTTTATTTAAGTTGAAACGTCATAACGTGTTAGAGCTGTTGTTTAATACATGGCTCATAGATCAAGGGAAGATTATTTGAATTTGTCTCCATGCATTTTTACTTGGTACCATACGTTTTCTGAATTGGCATTTGATGGAGAAAAATTCAGGTCAGTATGTGTAGAGTAATTTATTTTTAAGATTAATAACGGGATAGTTAAGTAGAAAATATGATTTTATTCAGTAACTAAATATTAGGTTAACTTTAAAAAACAATATAATACAGCATTTGGTACCTATTACTATGCAAACAAGTTGGAAAACAACTCTTCAGGTGTTAATAATGTTTGTTAAGGAAATGTGACTCCCCAAACTTAGCTGATAGAATCACTTGGCAAAATCGTGGGAAACATCTTAGATCTCCCAATCTGGAAATTTTAATTTCCTGATAAACTTATTAGAATACTGTGGCGATGCTCATTGTCTGCCTTGTTTGGAAACCTTTGCAAAGGTTAAAAAAAAATCATTGTTTATCAATGATTCAGTCAAAAGTAATTAAGCATGAAGGAAAGGCTATATTATTGTTTTTCTGTTTGCCGGACAAAAAGTTTTTTCCTACATTATTGGAGTATTTTTAGAGTAACGGAAGTGAATTGTCATGTAGCTGGCCATTGTTCAGGAATTTTCTTATTGAGTAAAATATGTTATTTCAGAAGAGCTTTGGTCCTTCTGAGTGTAGGTAGAGATGTTTACCTGGGCATATCTTAAGTTTCCAAATAAAGTTTATCAAAGTTGAAATTCACTATAAGGTTTTGTAGGTCAGTTTTGGTTCTTTAGGAAGAGTTCTTTGGATAGTTTTTGGCAACTTCAAGTGAAACTGGGTTTTCCATTTGTTTTATAGACTTACTCATCCAAGAGTCTGTAACTGATATTTAAAAATTACATAGTCAAATTATATATGACACATTTTAACAGCCTTAGAAACAAATATTTGTAGAACTTGATCATTAACTGGTATTTCTAAGTTCTTCAGGTACATGTAAAGCAACAAGAACAAAGTTTTTTTCCCTGTTTATTGAGATTGTTTAATTGTATTAAAATTTTTGTATTTGCCAAATGCCCTTAAATTTCTAAAAGTGGGATACAATTAAGTAGCAGTGCAGTCATGTTCCAGGATCTAGACTACTTTGAAGGTGCTTTAGACCAAAATAGATATTATTACTATGTGAGCTAAAATGTATATTATAGCAATTCATCTATGAAATGTTTGCATGCCGTTTGAGCCAATTAACTTTTTTAAAGAACCAAAGTATTACATGTGTTTATTGAACGTTCTCTGGGTTTTCTCCTGTCTGTGCATAATGGAAAGTATTGATCTCTCGGATTCTTGCTTTGAAAATTTCCAGTTTCCTATTGATAGTTGGCTCTTTGAAGATTTACATCTTTTGTAAAGATTCAGTCATCACAGGAAGGTGGGCAAACTATTTGATAAGGAATTTTGTTTGTACAAGTTCAGCAGGTTATTTCTTGAGATGTGAATCTGGAAGTTTAGTTCAATTTTACCTGACAGTAGCTAACAGATTTAAGACTTAGTGTGCCCCCGCCCCATACAATCCCCTTGGAATTGCAAGAGATACCTCCTGAGGCCACCTCAGATTTCCAAATTCCAGTCATTTCTCCCATAAAAGGTGGTACAGTAACTTGTGCCTGACATAAAAGTTGAGTGACTGCTCTGTGTGACATCCAGTAATCTTTTTAAAAGATCTTAGTTTTTTTTCCAAAAACCTTAGAACTCAGTTGGCCTTCTTAATAAAGGGGAGTCACTTTAGCAAAGAAACGTTTTTAAATCATCCAAGTTATTTTATATACAAATAAAAATAACCATGTTGGTTTCTCCTGGGTGCTTCTTATAGGTGACCCTCTTGCATCCCAGCCTATATGAGCTTTGAAGTCAAATGTATACCTCAGCAGCATTGCCTATTACTACTTGTTTTGGAACTTGAGTGCTACTAGTGTAAAGCCGGAACAGCAAAAGTTGACTCCATCATCAAATGCCAGGGTCTATCGTGTTTTGTAATCAGTAATTTAGCACAGTGTTGGAAGACACTATTAAATGTCTGTTAGGACCTTCCTACTTAGCCTAAACGTGAACTGATAGGGGAGGTACTATACTGTCTATTTTTGAGTGCGGTTTATGAGGTGAGGGACAAGGCGTTGCTTTGGCATATAAATCATGGAGAACCGAGGTGTATGGAAGCCATCTATGCCATTCAAAACAGTTCCAGTTTAGCATTTTATTGTTAACACGTTCGATTTAAGGGTCACCATTTCTTGGTATTTCAGTGACTTCATCTGGACTGTATTTTTATACTGAAAACAAAGTATTTAAATTTACTTCACTGGAGAGTTCCCATAATTTGGGAAATAAGCGATCACCCTGATCTTCAGCGGGTGGAAGAAGCCCTGGGTAACACATCAGTCTAAGGCAGCGGTTCTCAACCTTTCACAGGGGTCGCCTAAGACCATCGGAGGTTAAGATGAAGCATTAGGAATAAAATAATATTACTAAGAGCTTACATTTGCGGAGCACTTTCTATGTACCAGGGTCTTTATTAAGCACTTTATAGGCATTATATTATTTAATCTTAATAACCTAAGGAAGATTACTGTCCACATTTTTAAAAACGAGCAAATTGCTTTTCAAATCCAACAATGAGTACTTCACTCATCTAAGTTGAGGGAAAAGCTTTCAGTACTAAAGTAAACACTGCACTGGTGTCTATTATGTACACAGCTCTTGCCAGGCACTGGGGGAACCGTTAAAAACATCACAAATCACAAATGAACTTATTAGAACTGAGTCCAAAGTATAAAATCAGGACTATCCTTAGACCAGTGGTTCTCACCCTGTAGGTCGCGACCCCTTTGGGGGTCAAACAACCCTTTCACAGGGGTCGCCGGGTACTTGTATGTGGGCGTATCTGCATGTGGGCCTGGAGACGGATAGAGGAGTGGTGTCTTGGTTCCTAAGACCATCGAAAATATGTGTCCTGCTCTCCCACAGGAGTCTGTTTAAGCCAGGTAGGAGAGTGGTTAAAATGATTTTAGTTAATTGAAAATGTTGGGTGTGTTTTGCAGTCNAGTCTAGTTGTGGAGGACGTTGCTTCACTGGCCCAAGTTGGCACCATCATTGCGCTCTTCCCCGGGCAAGGCAGATCAGTCGCCAACTTCTGGACGGCCGCTCACTGTGGCTGCTGGCCGCTCATGCTGGCTGCTGGCTACACACGGTAGCCCATGGCAACCCAGGGGCTGCAGCCTACGCCATCACTGGCGGCTCACGGGCAGCCCAGCTCCAGGTTGAGCTGTTTTTCAGCATTTTAGCTATAGAGGGCAGCGTCACTGGCCCTCATAGGTGGGATCTGAACCGGGGCCCTTTGGCGTCCCAAGCCAGCTCTTAACCAGTGCGCCACTCGGCCGGCCCGTGACTTTGGTTCTTTAAGTTGGTATTTGAAGATTTTCCATTTTCTTGTTGCAATGTTTTACATTTCATGGCATTTTATGGACCATGCTGTGGTTCTGTGTCAAAGTTGGTGGTGATTGCCAAAATACAATTCCAGCATTAATCTCTTGTCTGGAGTTCAGCATTGTAGCAGCAGTTAAAAAATGAAACCATTCATTTCAAAAGGATTTTGAGACGATTGCATATTATGTCAAAGTCAGGAAGTCCCCCTGTCCATGTCCTTTTCTAGAGTACCAGACACAGGAAAACGTGGAAGAAGACTGCTGAGCTCTCATGTCTATTGGGAAGGTTGACAAGTGACCAAATTAATTGTCTGGGATGGGACAAATGGGAGGCAAAGTTGCATAGATGTGAACAGCTGGGACTCTGGAGTCAGCCTTGTAGGGCAGGATGTGGTAAAAAGTGAGAGCCTTTGGGGCATGGGGGTTGGAGCTGGGGTTGAAAGAGGCTGCCTATTTTCAGTTCCCTGGGGGTAGTCACTGCTGTGACGATTGTGGAAATACCTAGTAGACACTGAATTTGAGATTGGAGAGCACAAAGGATTTTTTCCTAGAGGTCATACCCGAGGCTTCAAGAATCAGGTGTTTCGCTTGCTACGTGAGCAGAGGTTGGAGGTGAGCAGTACTAGGGCTTACTCTGCTCTGCAAGTGGGTTAGCATGGCTGCAGCAGTGGGGGCGAGGGGAAGGAATGATGAAATGATGTGTCTTGGGAAGTTGGCGGAGGCCAGGTTTCATACAGTCTGTGGAAGTTGGATGTTACCAGTGACCATGCCTAGGGTGGCTGGGAGCAGGTGGGCAGCCCTGGCTCCCTAATCTTCAGGCCTCTCCAAGCCACGGACCTCTTTGGCAATGCACGTGCAGCTTCCGGGTCATCCCTCAAGCCCTTTCAAGCGGACTGCCCTTTTAGATCCCTTATAAGGAAATTCTGGAGCTGTCTCTACCTTCCTGCCTATGAGCAAATGGTGGAAGCCAAACTATTAATATAATTCCAACTAGCGCCTTGAGCTGTGTGGTACTGACTCACTCATGGGTGGTAGCTGGGAAGAACTTTGTGTTAGAAGGGGAATTGGAGCTGGGATGTGAAATTCTAAAATGTCTGTTTGGGTAAGGCGTTGACATTTATAGAGTGCTGCCTTCATAGCTGTCATTTGATGCTCGCATGACTACAGATATTGTCATAGAGGGTGGCACAGGCAAGAGGTGATCTAGAGCTGAGACCCAAGCCTGGATGCCAGAGCCTGTGCTTTTTAACTGTGCCATCCAGCCTTCCTCTTGCCTGGTGACTGCCTTCTGATTGGTCACAGGTTGAGAGCAAGTGACTTCAGATGCCTTAGTCAGCTGGAGTAGTCAGCTTCTATGTAAAGGACCAAGGAGTCAGTAAGTATAACGAGACCTTGACATTGGTGAGTCACTGTTCTAGGGATGCCTGACTGGTTCAACTCGGATTAGATTTCTTTTCTGAGGCTCTTAAGAATATGTGCTTTAGGGCTGGCCGAGTGGCGCGTTGGTTAAGAACTGGCTTGGGACGCCAAAGGGCCCCTGTTCGGATCCCACATATGAGGGCCAGTGACACTGCCCTCTACAGCTAAGATGCTGAACAACAGCTCAACCTGGAGCTNGCGCCACTCGGCCGGCCCTAAAAATCCCAGA